AGAGAGAGAGAGAGAGAGAGAGAGAGAGAGAAAGAGAGAGGGAAAGAGGAGGAGGAAGGGAGAAGACCGCGCCAACTATATACCGTATGCGCGCTACGTCGTATCAATTATACGCGAGGGCCGCGCGCTAACGATCCTCTTTGCCGGCGATTTAAATGCGAGAGATAAACAGGTCCGTGAAGTCTCGCCGAGGACGTGAAATCCGATCGATAATCGCGTGCACGCTATCCGCCGTGTCCATCTGGATTTATCTGAATGTGTCGGAGATGTCGCCCGGCGCGCGCGTTTACGCCTCTTCGCTCGACACACACGCTCGGCGGCTCGACGAGGAAGCCGATCCCGATGCCGAAACCGATAACTCGCGGTTCTCATTGGATGTTATTACCGCTTCGTTAGCGCGCTTTGCGCGAACGCTCGAGCCGAAAGCGTTAGATGCGTGCTTGCTGCACCGGAGGAAATCGCCGGCGACAAGTCGATGAGCTTCGGCGGAGCTTCGATTTCCGCCTCCGCCAGCGCCTCCGATTCCGCGGCGGCGCGGGCGCACCGAAAAACTCGCTTGTCGCTCGTCGTTCGTCGTTCTGCTGTTACAACGGAGGTAACAATAATATTCACATTTCACACGTGTATCTGACAAGACGAATACTCCGAGCCATCCATCTGTTTTACCCGTGTATTCTCCGTGTATCCTTTGAAAAATGCCCGAGATAATGTAATTTTCGCATAAGCCCTCGCGCGCGACGATACGAAATGCATGACAATGCATTCGCGCGGGGGGAGACACGGTGTTAGGATTTTCAGATACAGGACGCGTCGCTAAAACACGCTCTACGATTGCTTTCGGCGGATCCGCGGGAATGATGAAACGCACGTTGTTGTTCTGAAAACTCGCACCGGCGGAATAAACGTTATTTATTTTCCGTGAACCTCTAAGCGGCCGCGTACCGAGTGGAACCCGTTGAAAAGCCTAGCGCAAACGGTAGAAGGGAAAGAGGGAACCCGTGAATATATTTCACGCAATTATCGACTCTATTTATCAAAGCGCGATAACGATTCACTCGACAAAACGAGTTTATTCGAGCCTTCATAATATTTATACCGAGCACCGGATTAAACGAGCAATAAAAAAATGGTTTCAGCGGGACAAGCTAACGCGTATAAATAAACGTACGCTCGTGCGTTCGATAAGTCCCGGAATATTTGTGATATATCGGCGGACACGCGCGCGCGCCTAGGAATCTAGCTACCCCCCCCCCACTCCTCCCTCGTCGTGTATATTCAGCGAAAAAATGTTCGCTCGACAACAGCGGGATATTTGCCTGACACACATTTCGCGAGCAAATCTTTTAAATGGAATGAAGACGACGTGCCGGGTTTTATGACGGCGTAAGCGGGACGCGCTGCCCCGGCTACCGAGGATAGAAAAGACATTCCGAGAATGAAAATCGTTTCGTCGAGCGACTACTCGCGCGACGTTCCCGCGCCGATGGAGCGAGGGGGCGGCTAACGGCGCGATTGTATTACTCGCAATCTGTACCGCGAGCTCCGTGTTCGCTGAACTTCACTTAAAGATCGAAACGTAATCCCTGTAAATGCGCTGCGATATTCCGTTTCAGAGGGCATTCAACAATTTCATTAGCGCCGCGAACCTCGGCCCTTTCGGTATGATAATTCTGTCGCTGCAGCGAGATAATGTCACTTAAAGCCCTCCCGTCCCTCGTCTCCGTTCTCCCCCGTTCGGGGGCGTGAAATAGATTAAAGCTGATAAGGGGGAGTATTTAATTTTTTACATTTAATTTGACGACAAAACGGTCGGGGTCGTATCCCCCCCCCCTCTCCCCCCCGCCCACCTCTGTTATACGTATACACACGTGCGTGTGCAGACACGGTTTACGCTTTCCACATTTCACTAATTCACTAACATCCCGTGAATGTAAAATTTCACCGCGATAGCTCTTTTCGCGGAGTTTATTGCCGGCAACGCGATTATTCGCACGCCGTTAATTTTTACGCGTGTACATTAATTTCTGCGCAGGCGGACTCGCGCGTTCTGTTTGGCAATTTCCACTCGCGTTCTGCGGAAAGTGGGATTACATTATCTTGATACACGTTTTTCGACGTGGCGTAATTAATACCCGGTCTATCCAGCACGCCGGCGCATGTGCGTGCATGTGTATACGTAGCGACGGATATTATAACGTGCGTCGTCGTCGTCGTCGGGTCTCTCGTGTGCTCAGCTGCCGGGCTTTCGTGAGACTTGAAGAGTGTCATGAAACGAATGTAAAACTCGCTGAAAAGCTCGATAGCGATAACGACGGAGGCAAGGAGCCTGGCGTACCGAATCGCCCCGTGCGGATTACACGGCTTTGTAAAGTGAGAGCCTTCAAAGGGCTTTCTTCGTCGCTAATTTCCGAATGGTCGTCGATCGCGAAAATAATGCTCGCTCCCGCGTAACGTGGGCAGATGGATGCGAAGCGCGTGGAATTGACGCCTTTTTCTACCGTTGTAAAATACAATATATTTCACGTGCGCTCGTATTTTTTTCAGCAACCATCATTATCGCTCCTCGTCTTGTATTGTAACCTTGTGTAACAAGGTTATCGGACTTATCGACTCGATAAATCTCAAATACGATTTATCTCGTCTCGGGTAATTCTTTGCTGGTTATCGATTCGACCAGAGAATACTTGCAGGATCAGTTTCGGACGCTTTCAACGCAGCTAATCAAATAATCAAGACGTGAAACCAGCCACAATCGTGAATTTCTCAAGATTACTGAGGACTTTGAAGGATTATTGAGGAAGATTAAGAGGAAGTATTAAAGCTGAGCATTTCATATAAGGCACGCGCCTTCTAAATAAACGACGAGAAACGACGTTTTCTACATATCGGCCGCCTGATTTTTCCACTCGAGTGTCTCGGACAAATATATCATATAAATTTTCTCGTGCGTTCTTATTTATTTATTTATGTATTGAAAATAATCAAGTTCTACGACGTTGTAAGAAGGCGCGCGTAGGATTTTCCTGAAAAATGCGTCACGTCGCGACGTCAAGCGGCCCGACCACGACATCGAATGCAAAACCGCAATTAATAATCTAATTCCTGTCACGTACGTCGCCGAAAAAGACAAAAAGAAGGGAACAGGAAATTATCAAATCCTGCGATGCATTCGCGATTCTGGGAAATGATTGATCGTCGGTGTCGCGCGCGCGCGCGGGTGTGCGTGCGCGAGCGAGCGCGCGCCACAGAATGCACTCGGCCGCGCGCGGCGGTTCCGGTGGCGCAAAAAAGAACTTGCATGCAAATTTTCCAAGCGAGCGCGGCTGGAAGGCTCGAGGGTGATCGCAGAGTGCATGTAACTCTCCCGGAATTCCGACTAAAGCAACACGTTTAGTAGCGCGTACGAAATTGACCGGTGGACGTACGTCGCCGGCTTGACTTTGACTCGACGCGAATCGCGACCATGCGTTTTTATTATAAATTCGGACGTTATTCGCGTCAGACAAAACGTAAATAGACGCTCGCTCGTAAACGAAGAAAACAGCGGCGGTCAGTCATGAAAATGGGATGCGAACGAGCAGCCAGTTGTATGTTTGAGTCTTGAGATAAAATCTTTCGACTCGTACCTCCTCAACTCGAAGCAAGCACTTCTATTTTTCATTTTAAACGGGTGAGTCTCAAGGTCTAATCATTCGTTTCCGCTGCAGAGTGTTCTGTATTCTTCCGTTGAGACAATCATGCCGCGTACATGCTGCGGAATATCTAATCTCACGAGTTCGGCCAGAAAGTCGCTCCCGCGCATTTCAACAATTTCTGCCGTTTTGCCTGAGAAACTGCGTGCTGTGTGACGTCATGTAAATTACGCGAAACGCTGAACGATGATAAAGTTTGCATGAATATTTATAATTTATGTTAGAATGATTAAACGATAATTTCGTCGCGCGGTTACCGGGCGGCGACAAAGCGAGTGCGCGCGATCGATCGTCCGTTAATTATAAATTTGCGCATCACGCGCTTGTCCGAGGTGTTTCGGCGGTGTAAAAGTGGCCGGCTAATTGCCGCAAAATAGCGGAGCGGAATATCACACGGTGCGTTGAACGGATAAAACTGAGAATCGCGCCCGCCAAATGAGCCGGTTGCGTGCGCTTCGCGACGAAAATGTATTTCTGACGATAACAAGAAGCAATGTACATACAGAGCTCGACGCTGCCGTTATTAACCCTTTTGCAGCCCCGTGCGACCATGCGGCGAGTACGATACGGGGAATTCCGCGCTGTCTTTTTACGAAAATGATAAATCTTGCTACGCACGACAGTGCTTAATACTTCATCACTGTCCGTTCGTACGCGCGGTGTAAAAGAAATGGACGAGTAAAAGGTAACGTTGCAATCAAATGTTAATTAGAGCGTTTCTTTAAAGAGAATTCCCGCTGGCGGGATATGCGCCAGAATTGTCACAGACGAATATCTCGGTGCATATAATAATATTATTTCAATAATAGTATTTCAATTACTGCGGCACTTAATTTCTATCGAAAATCATAATGACGGAAACGTCGAGATCGCGACAATCTTTAAGTTATGAGTAATTAGAGTTTGCCAATTGTAACGATTTCACTTGCTCAAAGTATACACATTATGCGTACAGATTTGTCATCTACTATTGATTACCACAAGTGATCAGATACTGATTCTCAAAGCGACGTTTGGTTTCTTAAGGTTTCACGATAATGCCACAGTCAGAGGATATCGACAGACTAATGTTAAATTTTCTCACCAAATTCTATCGAATATTCAATAACTTATTTTAATAAGTATTTTAACGGTTGAATGACATTTTCGCTTAAAATGAGCTTGAAATGAGACAATTTCATTTAAAATGATAATTACTACGACATTTCCGGATTATGATTTTCGATTCTTTCTGTTGGAAATCAATGCGATTTACAATTATGCGTGCATACAATATGACTCTTTGTGAGTGCTGAAATTCAAACTCACCAATTTATGCTGTGGACGGATCTATTGGCGCTCTGGATCTGTAACAAACGATAATTTTCCTGATTAGTAACAATAGTACAGAATAGACAGCCGGTGTAAACAAATCGAGAACACGATGGATGGTTCGAGATGAGATGAGACGAGATAATGGGGTCGCGGACGCATAAGCATCGAAATTCGTCTCGCGATCGTTTTGCTCGACGTGAAAAAGTTGGAAATAGCACCGCGTCGTGATACAATATATTTCGCCTCTGCGTTTAGAACTGTTTTTAGAACTACGTTTAGAATCCGTAATCGGACATAAACCTACACATATGTTATTATTACTCGCGTCAAGGTCGACTGACCTTCGGCGCTCCAAATTACGCGCGAGCGAATCGTTGCATGGCTCTCCTCTTTCTATTTATATTGCTGCACATTCACTTCGGCACAATATCAATATTTCACTGATTAATAATTATTCATAATTATATTTTCGGATATGCAATCAGAAATCAAACTTTCGACGCGTGTATGTACGAGAATTTCTTTTGCGATGGTTAAGTTTGGTTTTCATTTACTGGCGGTGAGATTGATTTTCAAATTAAAATTAAAATAATCATATAGGTGGAGGAGGGGATCGTGTATCATTGAATATTGATACTTATATGCATGCAGACTGCATTTCGTGGAATTTATGTTACCACACTCGCGAACGTGGTCGAGAAAAATGATTATTCATGCGTGTCTCATTATCTTTCCGTGCATTTGTTGAACACAGTGTTTGCCTGATTGTAGCCGCCGACCGAGTCGCGATCGCCGTTATTTGAATCTAGGTCTGCTTGAATCGAGATATCGCGTTCTATTGTCTTTAATTTCACGTTTCTTCGAAGGGAAAGAAATTTCTCCCAGAAAATGGATCGCTATTTACTTACGGGAAAATCGCGCGCGAGCGGGTCGAGACTTTACGAAGAAATTCAATTCACCCGATTCAATGATTGAAAAAGGATCGTGCAAGAATTCTTAATCCTCAAGAAGCATAATCTCCTAATCTCGGATCAATGATCGATTGGCTGCCACGAGTAATATATCGAGCGACCGATATCTCTACCACAAGGGCTGAAACGAAACTAAGAGAAGACATTACGTTAAGCACAAAAGGACCATCTTCTCTTTTATTTGAAATCGTAAACGTTGATCACACCGTTTTCTGCAATCAAAATGTAATTAGCACGGAGATTTTAATTTGGATTCGGTACAACGAGGCTAAATTTAAGTGTAAAAGAGACAGACTTATAAATGGAACTTGTAATTTAGAAAGCATTATCAGAGTTAACAAGTATCGATATTTATGCGACTTGGGTGGATACTCGTAGCTGTAAGTTATTTGCGGTCTTTAATCGAGAGCATAATTAACTGCAGATTCACATTTATAGACTGTCGTTCAGCTAATTAAATCGATATCTCGTGTGCGAAATCACAGCACAGATTGGCAAATAACCAAAGATTTATGAGCCTATAATTATTATTTATTGAACGGTCGTGGATTATGAATGACCTAGAGTATTTTCAATTTTAACTCGGACATTTCTTTCTTTTCGGCGGATTTGTTCAACGTTCATTAAATCGGAAACGTCCCGTACAATAATACACAAATTTTACACATATATAATGACTTTACAAAAACGAAAAGATTTGATATGTTGCGCTACTCACCTTTGTGTGCTCTGTCCTAGTTTCCCACTCTAGCATTCTTGATTGTTCCGTAGTCCACTTGTGCACTAACACTGACACTCGCATACGATCAAAGAAACGTGTGTTAATTAACGCTATACCAACGAAAAAGAAAGAAAAAAAGAAACTAGAGAGAGAGAGAGAGAGAGAGAGAGAGAGAGAGAGAGAGAGAGAGAGAGAGAGAGAGAGAGAGAGAGAGAGCTCGATTAAATATATCAACAGAGTCCACAAAATATTCCAGCTTTCCAATAAGATATGCAAAATAACACATCGACACGCGTACTACGCGTCTCGGTATTTGTGTCGGTCGCCCGCTGACTCGAGACTATACTAAGCACTCGTCGCGCAAGCGCCCGAAATCTGCCTCTTCGAAAATCACCTCCCACCTATCGCGAAGTGTCGTCGCTCGCCAATGATAAACAAATACTGGTCCAACAATAATAGTTCCGAAAAAAGTCGTTTGACTCGATCACATAACTATCGTTTGTATAGAAAGGGTCAAATAGCGATAGATGGAAAAATAATTTACGCGCGCAAAGAGGCGACACTTTCTTCGCTGTGTTTGTACCTTTTTCTTCTCCTCGCGGATTCGCAATTTAAGCAGCAACCGCATCGATTAGCCGGATACAGGCGCGTCTTTATCCCAGTAGTTCAAAGAAAACGTCGTAAATAGTGGATTGCGGGGACCATAACAAACTCGAATGGTACATTTCGTATTTATCAAAGAACCCCCCTCGTTCTCCCGTCTTCGCATTACCGAGCTTAGAGGCGCCCGAGACGCTTCTTGTAATCCGTCGTTTCCTACACTATGCTCTGCCTGCCCTCTCCCGCCCTTTTAACTGCGCCCTCTCTCTCTCTCTCTCTCTCTCTCTCTCTCTCTCTTTCTCTCCCTTTCCGCTCCGCTCACCCTCTGCATGGTCGCCCTTTCCCCCCTCTTAACCGCTCGCGCAGGATAATACCAAGAGAGAAAGACTTCAAACGGAATACTGTACCAGCGGTTCTGGTATAAATAACAATCTGCGGAGTCTTATTGATTTTAGACAGACGAGATGCGCCAATGGCAAGTATATATTGGGACGTGCGCCTTTGGAAAAATACGGGGCGCTCCAAGAAAGATATTCCACTCTGGCGGAAAGGTCCTCTCCTTGAAAGAAGCGGCAGAGAAGCTTGCTTAAGCGAGGTTCTCACGCAAGGGTTAATTACGAAGAAATCCTTGGATCCTGCCGAGGTGTCGTGTTTCGTCGAGGAAAAGTCGGCTTTGAATCGCATTAAATACGTACCGGAGAGAGAGAGAGCGAAGTTTCTCTCGGAGTGCCTTACTGAGTCAGCCTGTACGTTCCCCGTTCTTAAGGTGACTTCCGAGAAGTTCTCTCTGAGATACGAGAGAACATGTCGTGAATGACCGCGCGCGCGAATGTGACGGCGTGTTGGAAAATTGTATGGGAACTTTTACACTATCGGGACTAAATAAGTAGAGCGTGAGTGATATATTGGCAACAGGGAACGCGCGGGGAGTGCGAAAAGCGCGCACAACCGTCAATCGGTTGTATCGGCTGTCGGGGGTGGACGCAAGAGTATGAAAAAATATTGCAAACTCACGCCTCGCGATTCGGAGAATATAGATTTCTTGCGGTGAAGGGAGGGGGAGGGAGGGGGTGCCAATAATGGCTAATGTTTCCAGGATTACCTGAGAGCACGATCTTTGTATGTTTCTCGGGACTGTAAGTATGCATAAAATTTTCGCTCGAAGCGTGTAACATTTATTGACATAAAAAATAATTTCAGTACATGTGATATTTAAAAATCTGTAAACGACACTGCGAATCGCGAAAACATAAGGTTTTATAGATACGATAGCGGGCAAAATTTCCCGCCGACGATGACGGCGCATGGCAGCGAAGGGAAAAGCGCAAGCGACGACAGAACGTATTGTTATAGCCCGCGACACAAGCGACCGGCTGCACATTTAAGCCTTTTTTTTCGTCGTCGACTAATGCATTCCACTGATCGATCAACGATCCTCCGTCTCTTTCCGCGTCTCTTTCTGCTCTTCCGACGTAGGCCAGGCGTTGGCGAGTTGCGCCGTTCCTGTGCGAACGCGCACCTGTTTCGCGGCGTATATTCCTCAAGACCGTACGTCGACACGACGCGGCTACGACTGGTCCCACCGCGCAAAACTCTGAATCATCGGCGGCCGTTGGCCATTTTTCAAAGTTGCCCGAGCCACGCTGCATTAATAACTACCAACGCTCGCGCGCGAGCGCGCGGGGGACGGTCTCGAGCGGCTTCGTGCCGCGCGCGAGCGGCGATAACAATGAGAACAAAGAAGTCGAAGGGGTGGATTTCAATCTGTACTGTGCCGGGGCTACCGAGCCTCGTGATCGTGGCCCTAGGTAGGTAGCTACTTGATAATATCCCCAGCTATTAGGGGCCCGCCGATGCACGGGTACCCTTCGAACCTGCAGGGGTAATCGTCGCCTAAAGCACGCCGCCGCCGCCGTTGCCGCCGTCACTATCGCGCTGCAATTCCGCCGTGGCCTAATTATTTCGCCGTGCGTCGGTCGGATTTCGCCTCGAACGTTGTCCAAAGTCGTTGCGACCGTTACGATTTCCGGGAGTAGACATGGACAGGGCCTTGGAAGATATCAGGTAATTAGCGAGAGTATGCCTCATCTTCTCTCTCTCTCTCTCTCTCTCTCTCTCTCTCTCTCTCTCTCTCTCTCTCTCTCTCTCTCTCTCTCTCTCTCTCTCTCTCTGTCTTTCTCTCTCTCTCTCTCTTTCTCTGTCTCTCTCTCTCTCTCGACCTGTGCGTTGCTCATTTATGCTCGCGTGTGCGCGACCTTTCGGCTCGCTCGGAGCAACGTTGATTCGCCGATGAGAACGTCATTATCCTCCATCGTCCATCGAGGCTATGTGTCCAGGGGGACACAAGAATGTAGGGGACTAAGCGTACGACTAATCCCGGTGGATGATCTATAGACGCGAAAGCGTGATTTATTTTGTGGATCCGAAGTAAAAGTAATATAAAACGACGGCAGTGTTCACTGTAGTTTTATATTACTCGAAGCATCTTTAATATTACTCAATCCTTCGGCTCAGCCATCTATCTCTCGAACAGCATTCCAGATCCCGCTGTCAGTTTACCCATCTGTTGCTAAGATGGATGCTGCAGACGTCTATATTTAGGTCAAACAAACCATAACAGTATCGCTCGTCCACTATTAGCGCATTTATTTCCTCAGCCCTATAGAATATAGATACACGTGTCGTCGTCTCTTTCCCTTGATCCTATGTAAATAATGTAACTTGCAACTCGAAGCCACCG